GTTTTTCTTTATATCTACTGGCATTATAGTTGAGCTTGCTTTCTATTTATATGATTTTAATTGAAATATGATGAATACAATGAATAATGTCATTTATTCTAGAAAATGTTTTTATGATAAAATTGATTTAAACTGTTGTTCAGCTTGATTTATAGAATATCCTTAATGCAACCATATTTTTTTTATCGAAGAAAAACAGGATTATTTGTCATATGTGGTCGTGTGTTATTTAACGGAACAACGATACGTCGTTGTCGACGAAATTGTATAATACTCTTCACTTTTTCACGAAGTTCTGATAGTGCACCAACAGTGACTATTGGAAAAAGAAACAACGTATAATAGGGGAAAAATATAGCGTGTGATAAAAACTCAGCTCCAATCTCTGCTGGCATACCACAAACATGAAGAAAGTTTATAATCATATAAGGAAACGGTAAAATCAGATAAATTGTTGATATAATGATCACTTGAAGTGTCATTTTTCGATATTGTCGCCATTGAATCTGTCGATGCATATGATATCGTTTCCATACAGCGCGGAACAAAAGAGCGATACTCAATATAACAATTGCAAAACACGGTATTATTCCGTGCGCTACTAATTCATATGTACCGAATACTCCATCGTAAAATTCACAAGGATAAAAAACAGGTGTTGCTATATTGTCAAAAGCATTCTCACATAGTGTCGTAAAAAATACTACTGCATGATACAACAGACAGTAGATTGTAAGTGTAACTGGAGGAAGATAATGAATAAAAAATCGCTTCTTTCTTGTAGATAACAAATGATCATGAAATATAAGAATATGTCTTTCAACTGTGACCCAAGCATAAAGGAAAAACTGAAGAGTATATATCGACCAATCAATATATCCCCAAATTAAACGAAAGATAGGTGTTGGCATAAAAGATTGATAAGATCGAAAGTAATGAATAAACAAGCACATATCCGTCATCTGATAAAATAGATTAATAATAAGAAGAATGATTATAATATGATTGTGAAGTGCTTGACGAAGTGCTCGTTCTCGTAGGAGATGGTATAAAGCAAACAATGCAAAAATCATTGATGGAACAATCAAAAACAGGAATATCCAAAACTGTATTGCATAAAATTGTTGTGTGTCGATATCAAATAATGATGTATCGTCATTGCTAGTTATATTTGTGTCTGACATGTTTGAGATAACGACTCGATAATGGAATAATGATAGAAAGAGAAAATGTTGAGATAAATGAAAACTTTTTTAAAAGCTTATAAAGTTAATCAGGCATATTTTTTGTTTTTTCAGATATATTCAGTACCATATGAATTAGATGATGCGAACAAAAAACGCACTTATAAGATTTCTCTACTGTTTATAATAGATTTTATTAAGTATAGCAGTGATTAATAGCGGTGGACTACTGGAGAATCCGACCGGGAAATTGTTCCACTTTGAGGAGAAATGCTTCAACCTCAGAAAAGCAAGACATTAAGGAGAAATGAAAACAGTCAACACGACATCTATTTTATACAAGGAGACATCTTTGTTTCAAAGAGAAATGGTACAAACTTGAAAATATATGCATTCAATATTTAGTTTAATACGGTATGGATATTTTCAATTAGATACAAATCTTTTTTTTTCAAGCCTCAATTCTCATTATGAATGGAGATATAAATGAATCATGTCATATTATTATTGATTCATTTCTACCAGAAAAAAATCATATCCGCTAGAATATCTTCTTAGAGTGAAAAAATAAAGTGATTTATATATCTCTATGTCTCTTTCATTTCTCCATATGAGTAGAGATGTGGATGAACCATTTCACATTATTATTTATTCATTTCGGATGTTGAATATTCATATCTGCTAGAATCATATAGCTAATGACTCGAGGCTGAAGTAACAATTTTTCCGATGAAAAACTATATTTTGAGAAAAACACAAAAATAATTTTAGAAGTGAATTTCTCTGCAGTTTAAGCATACTTTTGGCACAATATATGTAATTTCTCGGTTCAAAACACTGAACAAAAGTGAAATTCATAATTCTTATACCGAGTGCTAGTTGGCGCCCCTCAAAGTATGTAGAATATGTCTTGATTAATATTAATTGATATAGTAAAGCCAATCTTATGAAGATCGAAAATCACGAAGGTGTGTTAATAAATATGCTTTTCAAGCTCTGAACATCATTGATAAATCAGTTGTAACTGACTTATTTATATAAAAGCTATATATCTTGGAAGAGGAGACTTCGCAGCATCTTGCAATGCCAAAAAATTAGTGTTGACTTTGACGAAGCGCATCTTTTTAATTAAATTTATCTACTTTTATCTACAGTAGTTTATTGAATAATTATTCTTTTATCTTTTTCAGAAATGATGTGTTTTTCTTTATATCTACCGACATTATAGTTGAGCTCGCTTTTTATTAATAGTATTTTAATTAAAATATGATGAATAAAATGAATGATGTTATTTATTCTAAAATATGATTTTGTTGTATAATTGATTCAAATTGAGGTTCAGATTGAGTTCTCGGATATGCTTACAGCAATCATAATCTTCATCGAACAAAGTCAGGATTATCTACCCTGTGTACCTTTGTGTTTTTCAACGGACCAACAATGTGTCGTTGTCGATGAAATCGTATAATACTCTTCACTTTTTCGCGTAGTTCTGATAGTGCACCAACAGTGACTATTGGAAAAAGAAACAACGTATAATAGGGGAAAAATATAGCGTGTGATAAAAACTCAGCTCCAATATCAGGTGGCATACCACAAAGATAAAGAAAGTTTATGATCATATAAGGAAACGGAAAAATCATATAAATTG